ATGCAGCTTCTATTCTCTTTGTAAAGAAATCAGATAAAGAACTCTGATTCTGTGTAAACTATTGAGAATTGAATAGATTAATTAAGAAGAATCACTATTCTTTATCTCTTATCAATGAAATTCTAGCTTGTATCAGACAAGCTTAATAATTTATAAAATTAAATATTATCACTGCATTTTATAAGATCTGTATCACTGAAGAAGATGAATAGCTTACAGTATTTCAAACATATTATAATCTCTTTGAATTAGTAGTCACACTCTTTGAACTGACTAATGCTCTCAGTACATTTCAGAAGTATATTAACTAAGTACTCTGAGATTTTCTTAATGAATTTGTATCTGTATATCTTGATAACATTCTCATCTTCACTGATAAGTTCAGAAAAGAATATCAAGAATATATGCAAAGAGTATTACAATAATTATGAGAAGCAGAACTATTAATAGATATTAATAAGTGTGATTTTGAAGTGAAGAGTATAAAATATCTAGGTTTTATCATAGAAGCTGATAAGAGAATTTGAATGAATTCTGAGAAAGTCTCTGCTATTCTTGAATAAGAAGCTTTATGTACTGTGAAAGATGTATAAAGCTTCATCAGATTTACTAACTTCTATCAGTGATTTATATAAAACTTCTCAGATATCACAAGATCACTTATAGAACTTATCAAGAAGAACTCAGTATTTCAGTAATCAGTGAATACTGAAGCTGTATTTATATAAATGAAGAAGATGTTTATTAACATCTCTCTACTAATAATATTTAATTCTGATTATAAAACAGTTATTAAAGCTGACTTCTCTGACTATATTACAGAGAGAGTTATATTATAATATGATAATAAAGATATCTTACAATTATATATCTTCATGTCTAAGAAACTGAGTTCTGCTGAATGCAACTATGAGATCTGTGATAAGAAACTTCTTATAATTATATACTATTTAGAAGAATAAGACTCTGAACTCTGAAGTGTCTTCAAATTTGAGATAATCACAGATTATAAAAATCTCAAACACTTCACTATCACTTACAAGCTTACTGAATGACAAATGTGATAATCTGAGCTATTAAGCTATTTTCATTTTATAATATACTACTGCTCTGACAGTCAGAACTCAATGACAGATACTCTCTTATAATGAGAGTAAGATATACTATTCAATGTAATAGACACTCACTGAATAAACTGAGAGCACTGACTCTTGAATCTGAAGATATTAGTTAATCAAGATGAAATAACTTATAATATTATTCACACTTCTCTGATTAGAACTATCACTGATATCTCAACTTCTTTCAAATCTATACTGAATGAAATGTGATATATAATAGTCTGAACTGATGAACTTCTTTAAACACTCACTGAAGCAGTATATCAAGAAGTATTCTAATTCTTCTCAGAACTATGTATAAGAACTGACATCTCAGAGTGCTTAATTAATAATAATAACACTCTGTGATTCTGTGAATAATACTAAGTCTCTTACTCTGAACTCTTATACATCTGAATAATACAAGAGATATATGATTTATGTATAACTAAATATCTGAGTTATGAATAACTATACTGAATAATCTCTTGAGAATTCTACTAATCTGAGATATTAAACAGTATCAAATACTTTATCTGAAACTGTAATCATTATTTCTCTATTATCTTATAAAAGAACTGTAGAAAAGATTGACTAAAACTGCTTAATATCTCTAATAGAATCTGATAAGATATGATAATTCACTTCACTATTAATCTCTTTAAAAGTAAGAATTATAAGAACATTCTGATTATTATTGACTGATTAAGTAAAGATATAATATTGAAATCTTATAATAAGATAGATGCTGAATAAGTTACTAAAGTCTCTCTATAAAGTTTATTTTATCAGATATATGAATTACTGAAATCTATAGTATCAGATTAAAACTGTTAATTTATAAGTACTCTCTAAATAAGAATCTGTCAAATTCTTAAGATTATACACTGTTTATCAACTATCTATTACTCTGAGACTGATAATGTATTAGAATGAATAATTCAGATAATGAAGAATTATCTTTATAAGTTCTATAACTATTTATAAGATGACTGATATAACCTTCTTCTATATACTGAAGTTACTATCAATGACTGAGATATTATTTTAACAGATATAAGTCTGTTCTTTCTTATATATAATTATTATATGAAGATATTGAATCTTCTAGAGACTATACATTTCATACTAAATCTCTGCAGTTTAATTCAGATCACTGATAATATAGTAATAAAGTTTTAAGATGTCTGTGACTGAGTAGAAGCCTTTATAGTAAACACTAAACAGAATTAAGAAGATTAAACTAATATTCACTGAGATTCTACTAAGTAATATAAAATAGAAGATCTGATATAATTGAATCTTAAAAATATATAAATTGCATACTTATCTCATACACTGAATTATTATTATATGAAATATAAAATAATAGAAGTTCTAGATAGTTATAATTACTATTATAACATATTATCAGAGATTTATAATATTTTTTATATAAGCTTACTCTACTATGTTATCACTGATCTATTCTCTTCTCAACTAACTTTCAACTGACAGTTATCAGAAATTATGAAAGAAGATAATAAACTTAAGTAAGAGATTAAAGATATTCTTAATAAGAGATTATATAACTATAACTAATAATATCTTATAAAATAAGTTAGTTATAATTATCTATTCTAAACTCTGAGCTCTGTATTATTTAAAACAGCAGCTCTTGATTAATAAGAACTATATATAATCTTATTTCTGAAAAGAGAGAGTTAATATAACAGGCTGCATCTGATTAATTATATAGATTATTTTATTACACTTTATAGATTTTATTAAAAGCTTTAATTCTCAGTCTGCTAAAAAGCTCTGATTCTCAGTTATTAATTCTCAGCTGAAAAACTCATGAAATTTCTATTCTTCTGTTTTAAAGCTTTATTATGTATATGAAGTCTCTATTCTTTCACTCTGAAGCTTTATTATATATATATATAAATATTTACTCTGATTACTGATTCTTACACTTTCTCTTTCTTTTTTTCTCTAACATTTTTCACTTTTATATTATAAAATCTATATATTATATTAATCTATTTAGTGTAGATCTTTTACAATATTAAATTTAATTTTCATATTTATATTAATTTATATTAAAATAAATAAATAATATTGAAAATTAAAAATTTATATTAAAATATTTAATAAAATTAATAAAAACTTTTATTATTTAATAACTTTTAAAATAAACTATTATTAATTTAAATTAAATTAATTATTAAAATTATAAATTTTATATTTAATTTTATTTAATTTAATTATATTTTTTAAAACAAGTTTTCATTAGAAGTAAAATATTAAAAATATATAAAAACTAATCAGATTTTTACATTTTAAAATAAAATTACAATTTTTAATAATATTTAAATAATATTTCAAATTATTTAAAGTAATGAAAAATATATTATAATTTTATTTACTAAATAGAATTAAATATATAAAGTATAATTAGAATTAAATAAAATTATTATTTTTATAATATATTTAATATTAATATTAATATTTTATAATATTAAATTATATTTAATTTTAATTTTGATTTTAAAAATAGTTATATATAATATAATTAATTTATTTTAAATACAATTAAAATAAAATATATTTTTATAAATAAAAATTTTAAAATAATTATTTAATTTTATAAATTTTTTAATATATTTTAAATTATACTTTTAATTTATATTTTATTTAATTTTAATTATATTTATAATTTCTTTTTTTTTTATATTACTTTAAATAATTGTATTTTAATAATATTAATTGAAATTAAATTAAATTAATATACTAATTAGTAATGTATATGTTAAAAAATACATTAATTGTATTTTTAGATAAGAGAATTAACTTCTGTACTAATAATAGTTACTCTTTATTCAATCAACCTGTATATATTGTTTTCTCAGCCATGTTTCCTACTTCACAAAACATGCATGTACCTTGCTTGTTGCCTGATGAAGAACCATGAATATGAATGAACATGATATGAAGTATGAATAAAAATGCCAGTGTGTCTTCACCCTCTGAAGAATTCAGTTAATTCATCATGTCACTGAGATAAAGTGTCTCTATCCCTATCTCTGTTTCAATCAGTTTACATTCAATATACTCACATCAAAAATGTCTGAAATGGCCCCCCCGCTCTGAGGTCTATTATGACACGCTCTACATAGCGGCAAGGGACAGCACCTGCTACCCAGCCTATTCACACCTTCTACCATGGATAAACCAAGTTCAAGTGAAAGGGAAAGGCTGCGAGCTCCTATGTCTAGCTGCCGGTATACAAGGAAAGGGAAACACCTCAAAGCCAACTGAATAAGTTGACGCGTCAACTGTGTTGCTGTTACCCTTCACTACCATTTCATCAGCAATCATGATCAGCATATAAAGAAGGAGAGAGAGTGTGTGTGGGGTTTCAACATCACTCACAGGAAAGGGGAAAGTCCTATTGAAAACCAATGTCTATTTTGTACAGTGTTCTTCTCGATCGTCAACCTTGTCTTCATATATTTCTACTTCTTCTGCCCTTTCATTTTCACCCTCTCTTGTTTTATGGACCTGATTCTCCATAGATTTGGCTCGTTGCGTCAAAATACAACCCAACGCCTCTCCCGCGTGTGCGTCACATTCTTTTTTTCACATTTTCTTTCTTTTTCCTCCTTTTTCCTCCTTTTTTCTTTTTTTTTTTTCCTTTTTTCTTTTCCTCAGTACCTGCTGTAAAGCTCAATTGCAGCAGGGAGAGTCATGGGACCCTATCACCAGGAATTCCAAAATGACAAGGATGGCGATAAACAGGAATCTGCACGGTCTGAGCATGACAAAATGACCCAGCTACCGCTACCACTCCATTTGCCACGCGTAGAGGAGCAGGAGGACGGCCTCCACGCTGGCAGCCGCCGCAGATGTTTATATATGAAACATCGCGCACACTGCCACTCAATGCTTTGCTTCTACCTTGGCGTGTTGCTGTTCAGTGCTGTTGGTGCAGTTTACTACGAACCCGCCGAACCTGCTCCTGAATCCCATCAGATTTACCTCGACCCGACTACCGTTTGGAAAACATCCATGATAACTGTTTCTGTTCCTGCCGCTCCTACTGCTACTCCTGGTTCTGGTGGTGCCGATTCTTCTGTCTTCGAGACTAGCATTTTGCCATCCTCGGGGAGTATAAATCCCTCCTTCTACAAAAGCACTTGCCCCCCTCCACCGGATCCTAGCCCATCTAGCCCCAGCCCGCCCAGCCCAGAACCACCCGGTCCCAGCCCACCAGGTAACATGTCGAATCCGGATGGGTTTAGGTCTATTGTGTACTTTGTCAATTGGGTATGTGATTGCCAAAAAATGGTTTCAAACTTTTGATTAGTTGTTTTTCATTATGTGAAACCTCTCGCAAGAAGTTTGAGGTTGATATTGGTTTGTATAACGACAATTGGTTTGTATAACGGAACCCAGGGATCTCAACTTAGCGCCATTGTTTAAACGGGTTATATGGGGAGAATTATACCCCCAACGAAAACACGGAACGTTTTATCTTTTTATATCTTGTTGATTGATTGTTTATTGTATCTTTGATATACTGTAATTTTCTTTTACTGTTTTGGCTTCCAACTGACTTCATGGTATAGGCAATCTATGGGCGTAATTACAACCCCCAAGATTTGCCAGCAGCAAAGCTGACGCATGTTATCTATGCATTTGCCAATGTTCACCCCGAAACCGGAGAAGTGTACGTTTTCTTCATCATGGTTACTCGTGTATCCTTTCGTTGCGTAAAGTTATATCTTACCTGACATCCGATCGACTTTTCCTTTAGCTATCTGTCCGATCCCTGGTCTGATACCGACAAGCATTACCCAGATGATTCCTGGGACGAAGTGGGAAACAACGTCTATGGTTGTGTCAAGCAACTTTTCTTGCTCAAAAAGAAGCATCGACATATGAAGGTCCTACTTTCCATTGGTGGATGGACCTATTCTTCTAATTTGCCCAAACCCGCGAGTACGCCAGGTGGCAGGACCAAATTTGCTGACACTGCCACAAAGTTGATGCTTGATATGGGTTTTGATGGTAAGTTGCCACTGTTATGCACAGGGGAGAAGATACCAAGGGGAACTCATGTGCAGGGGCTAACCTGGCTTCTTGGGGCCGACAGGGCTTGACGTTGACTGGGAATATCCTAAAAGTATGTAACCCATGTCCCATTTCTCAGAACTGGGTAGTGTTCGCTAATCGCTATTATTAGATGACGACGAAGCGAAGAACTTTGTCGAGCTTCTTAAGGTTACGAGAGAGGTAGGATTGTTCGATGTTTCTGACCTCAGCCATCCCATTGCCATACTAATAATAATATTGTTTCTCTAGAAGCTTGATGCAGTAGCCAAGGATCGCAGGTTCTTTCTAACCGTCGCTTCCCCAGCGGGTATGTATTATTTACTCAGTTACTAAAAAATCTCCACTTGACTTATTATTGTTGGGTACATTATTTAGGTCCGCAAAATTTTGAGAAGCTCCGCCTCCAAGAAATGACCACCCTTGTGGACTTCTACAATTTAATGGCATATGACTACTCTGGAAGCTGGGACGAGATAGCTGGTCATCAATCAAACATTGACGGTTCCAAGTCCAATCCTAAATCCACCCCTTTCTCCACCGAGGCAGCCTTAGAGTATTACACTGGTGTTGGTGGAGTACCACCCTCTAAAATAGTTTTGGGCATGCCATTATATGGGCGCGCATTCGCCAACACCGATGGCCCTGGAACTCCCTTCCATGGAAATGGGGGTGGCGGCAGCTTTGAGCCGGGGATTTGGGACTACAAAGTGCTCCCAAAGTCGGGAGCAGTGGAATATTTGGACTCCCTTGAGAAAGACGGCTGCGGTGCATCATGGAGCTATGATTTATCTACTCGCACGATGATTTCGTACGATACCGTGGCGATGGTGGAGGAGAAGACGAGATATATCATTAACAAGGGGCTCGGTGGTGGCATGTGGTGGGAGGCGAGCGGTGATCGGGATCCCAGGAGCGCGGAGAAGGACAAAGGAAGTCTTATAGGCACTTTTGTCGAAGGGGTTAGCGGGAATTTGGATACACAGGAAAATGCTCTATCATATCCGGAGAGTCAGTATGACAACCTAAGGGCCCAGTTCCCCCATGATTAGACGGAGGCGTGTTATATGACCATTGAGAGATATCCTTCACTCTATCTAGAGGAACATGTTACGAATGGCTTTGTATTTTCCCCTAATGTTAGGCATTTATTAACTTTCCTTTCAGGTTCTGCGAGCATTTTGTGAAGATTTCTTGAGGGGTTGTGATGACCAAGGATGATGAGATATTGTGTTGGAGCATGTTCCTTACGTTTTATTCATGAGACCTCATGCCTATTTTTTTGTGTATAGCGATAAATCGGGGAGAAAACAAGACCCGGAGTGTATGATAGCAATGATATATATACGTTTGCGATTACTTACACTTTGTTCGATGGATAGGTGCAGCTGAAACAAGCAGAAACATAGAAGTAGTTAAAAGTATCTGAATTCGATTGTTCAATAATCTAAACACAGGGCCAGGTAAAATTATTATTCCCCAGTCCCTTAGCTCCCAAAATCCCCATCGATTTATTTGGACTCGTCAAAGACGTAGGTGAGATGGCACTTTCCGCAGTACTGGCGGTTGTGCATGGCAGCCATGAAAACACCGGCTCCGCACTATTTGTTACAACAACAGATCAGCAAAACTGCAAAGGAGGAAAACTTTTCAAATATAGCCCATGTAGGAAAATATAAAAAAACATACCTCAGGAGTAGGGCACTCGCGGCGCAGACGCTCGATCTTCCCATCGCCATCGACCTTGTAGTATTTGAGAACAGCAAGCTTGGTCTTCTTGCGCTTGTGCTTGATTTTCTTCGGGGTGGTGTAGACCTTCTTCTTGCGCTTCTTGGCACCACCGCGTAGACGCAGGACGAGGTGAAGGGTCGACTCCTTCTGGATGTTGTAGTCAGAAAGGGTACGGCCATCCTCGAGCTGCTTGCCGGCGAAGATCAGGCGTTGCTGGTCGGGGGGGATTCCCTCCTTGTCTGTTCGGGGTGGTGAGGTGTTAGTGGTTTTACGATTTGGTTGGACGGAGGGGGTGGTGTATGCTGAACTTACCCTGGATTTTACTCTTGACATTGTCGATGGTGTCGGACGACTCCACTTCAAGGGTAATAGTCTTGCCCGTAAGGGTCTTTACGAAGATCTGCATTTTGACGGAGGCCTGTGGTTGGGAGGTGGTTAGTTGTTGAACGTTTTTGTGGTATTCTTTTGGGGGGGGATGAAGTGGGTTTTGTGAGCACTGCTGCAACTCAGGGCAGTGATGTGTGAATGCTAGGAAGTATGAGAGCACTAATAATGACTCGGTTCAACATACCTCGACAAGTTGTCTTCCTCAACCTTCCTGTGCAAATCGTTGCTTGATGATGTTCTTCTCCCAAAGTACTGGACTGGATTTGTTCAACGTGGAGATATGGATCGAAGCGAGGGTTGTGTGGCTCACGTGATATTCTTTCGGGACGGAGCGAAATATCACGTGATTAATAACCCACAGGGCTGAAGTACGCTAAACCCCGATCAGGCGTTGCTAGGCCAACAATCTTTTGTTTTGGAGTAGCACCGATCTCAGATCGCTCTGTACAGCGACACCCAGACAACGACATTGCTCAATGGCAACGGAGCTGTTCAATTCAATTCCCATTGTCAGTCTCCTGCATTTTTAATCCGTTTTTTTTTTTCTTTTCCATTTTCATACACTATTACCGAATTACACCAATACTACTCTACCACCTCGTATAGTCTGCTTCATCGCGCTCCAGTATACTACTACAGCTTGTGAGTACTTGGAAGGGTGAACCTCTCTTGCATCCCCGTTTGGTCCCGTCCTAGAGACCCATTTATATTCTCCCCATCTCGATTCAGAGTTTGTGGGTGGGATATTCGATATATTAAGTATTATGATTATGGATAATCGCGCCCTAACATTGTTAACTCTCTCAGCTTAAACTTCTTCAAATCTTTCTCAGGTCATGGTTGTTCAAACCTACTCCCTCCCCGTTTGCCTCTGTATGTTGTTTAATTGAAAGGTTGTATGCAAAAGCATTTGGGCCCACTGAATACCTTGAATTCATCAGTCGGTACAATAGATATCCTGCTGCAATCTGGAAATAACTATACATCGAGCAGGGCGGAGAGGCAGCATATACAAAACACAGAAAAGTCGGGATTTCTAGCATTTCTAGCTTTCATGCGGTCGAGACAAATATGCGGGAATATCACTCACATCGAAGAGGCTCAAGTATCGACGCCGGTGTGTTAGGACGACGTCATTATGCACCTCCATCTAGACAGCTTGTAATGAGCCCTAGCCTGCCGCAGTTAGATATCGCCCATCAGCATCACGAACGCCCTGCAGCCCAACGACCAAGCACTCCAAAGAAGCAGACAGGGCCAGGTGAGCCTTCTTGCTTGTTTTATACTGTAAAGTAAGGGAATAAGGCTAACATCAGAAAGATTCACTTCCATTGACGCCGGCAACTACGCCCTTTCGGCGATCAAAAGATTTTTTCCAAAATGCCAAGAGTGCTCAGCTATCGCCAACTAGAAGACATGCCAGGCGCAGTGTAGACTTGGGCGGTTCCTCGTCTATGCAACGTACGAGGTCACTGCAAGGGGTCGTTGGAAGCAATTTCACCCAGCAGAGAGACCATGCTCCCTGTACAACCAATCCTGTATTCTTCAACTCCTTCGATAGCTTTACCACTCCTTTACCAGACTTTGGAGATGACGTATTCTCCGATTTCACTTTCCACCATAATGAGGATTCAAAAAGCTCCGCGGTCACTTTTAACTTACCGTCTTCTCCTGTCCACTCCTCTTTTAGCTCACAGAATCAGGCTACCGGCGGCACGCAGTGCGAAGGAGCCGACAAAAGCTCCGCTCGGCCAAAAGTGCCAATTATGCCAGCTATTCCTCTCATTCCCGCATATAATCAAACTGCCAACTCAAGTTCACGTTCATCACCACTGAAGGCGCCTTTGTCGCCGAGACCCGTATCGATTGCTGATTTGAATTTGGATGCCAACATTGACGCTTCAATTGAGGAGACCGGTATCACCCTTGACGACATTGCTGCGTTTATTGAGGGTCCAGATGTCGACAAAAAGTGGGTGTGTACGTATGGAGGTTGTAACAAAAGGTTTGGCAGGAAAGAAAACATTAAATCTCATGTCCAGACCCATCTCGGGGATAGACAGTTCAAGTGCAACCACTGCAACAAATGTTTTGTCCGCGGCCACGATCTAAAACGACATGCCAAAATCCATACGGGAATTAAGCCCTACCCGTGCGAGTGTGGTAATAGCTTTGCCCGTCAGGATGCCCTAACAAGACATAAACAACGAGGCATGTGCAGCGGTGCGTTTAAGGGTGCTATAAGAAAAGTGGTCAAACGTGGGAGACCACGAAAGCACAGACCAGGGCAGGACGAAGCTACCAGGTCGCGCATTGCGGCAAGCGAGAAGTCCTATGCCAACTCGATTTCCGAATCTTGCCTTTCGTTAGCTTCTCCCCCAAGTGAAAGCAACGATACAGGAAGTGTACGTGAGTCGAGTATCGGTGATGACATGCAATACCTACACAGTGATGGATTCGGCTTACCTCCCGACGTCTTCACTTTCACACCTCCTGCCTCTCCCGGATTCAGTACCGGAAATGTTCCATCGCCCACTAGAAGCTTCCGTTCAATGACGCCTACCATGGACCGTAACTTTCTGTCTCTGTCCCCAACGAAAAGACCCCTCGATGATATCCCAGAAGAAATCCCAGATATCTCGCTTCTTTGCCCAGGCTCTCCAACTCCAATTAAAAAAGAACGCCCAATCTCTTCCCAGTTTTTGCTTCTGTCGCCAGCAGAACCCACTTTCGCCGCTGCTCACGGTTTAGAATTTGACGTCTTCACCTGCAGCCAGGATACCACCCCTCCTTCTCTGTCCACAACCTTTGAAGAGAATGACCTTGCTTCACTCCAAATTCCGTCCATGATCGGAAGTCTTCCAATGGAGCCAGGGAACTCTACCTCCTCGGGATATGAATCTGACCTCTTCCTCGCTACTACTCCTACCCAATGTGATAACGTTGCCGATCTTGGCCTTAGTAACCAATTTTTCTCAGGATCATTCTCACAGTATTCTGAGGATTTTTTTAGCAGTTTTTCTTCGGAGGTGGATAATGAACTGTGATACGTTTTATGATATGGTAAGAACTAGTCCTATTCTTCCCACTCGCCGATATGGTGGTGCTAGCTTATTAGGGTGCTGACTAGTTCGTTTTCGTGGGGAAAGCTTGAAATGACTTTTAACACGGTCCACGGGTAATGTGTAAAACTTACTATATTTGGGTGGGAACGCTTGTTACGATAGATAATGATTGATTAAGCCTCCTTTTCGCTGGGTTTTCTGGACGTTGGAATTTGCAAACTTGATTTTACTTGATCCTCAAAATATTTTGGCACCTGACCCCGCTGCCTACATGCTTTCTCCATTTGGGCTTTTTATGTTTGTCCCTCGCTTTTTGTTTTTTTTATTTACTTTTCATATGTTTCTAGGATGAAGCTTTGGGATATGATTTCTTTTGTCCTATTTTTCCTACTTTTTCCCTTATCTCATATTTCTCTAGTTTCACTATTTTCCATCTTTAGGGACCATTTTATAATGACCTTGTACAACACAACAATAGCATGTGAGCTTTGCAATTCTGCTTTCTTGTTTTTTTGGTTTGTTTTTAAAAATGCAATGTATTTGGAAAAGGTCTTGCAAGATTGAATGATTTTTATTTTTGTTGCTTTCGATAGTTACAAGTTTGGTGGCAAAGAAAATTTCCCCTTTTTCGGATGATGTTCAACTTGGTGGTTTTAATTTTCATTTATTGGTGTTTTTTGTTCAATTCAGCTCTGTTTTTCTTTTAATGTTTTGATTTGTGCATGACAGTGTCATCATCTGTACTCCAGCATCTGGCTACTAAAGGCCTAATTATCCATGTTGGAAGAAGAATTCGCACAAATTCATATCTTGTAGCAAAGGTGCATCAAGCTAAATAAAAATGAGAAGATAGCCACAACAATAAAATCAAGCGCTCCCATATATTACCTAATATAAAATTACGTTAACTAGGTTAACTAACTTATTCTAATCTATATCGATTATCTCTATAGAGCCAACACACTGAAGGCACCGAAACGCCGTTCCTACCTGGCGACATATAAAACACAAACGCTGTAGGAAAAAAGGTAAGCCATCATGGATGGCTTATCTGTAAAACGCCGCAGCAAAATCGCCTAGCATTAAACGAAACGGGGCTGGCAGAAGTAAATGACGGCTTAAACGCCGCGCCAGTGAATTTCCAACGATAATGGATGTCCACGTGAAGATTCGTATATTATGCTCTGGCCTCGGCGTCTCGGGACGGCATCTGAGTAAAATACAGTTTGTTCGTTGAGGGATAATTTTTCGCCAATCGCCTAGGGTGATGGCTTCAAGTTAGGATATGTATTACTTATTGGAAACGAGATTCCGCAGGAGTTTAAGGGGCAGACATTAGGAGTGGAAAAGTATCGCTTACTGTAAATGCCGTTGGTTCGTCGATATCTGCGCCGCAAATAAAGTTATCGTCGTCATCAAAACCGCAGAGGCCTTTGCTTGATTTGAGGTAGAGGTCATCTGTACGAAACATGAGGTCAGATACATGAGAACCGTAGCAAACATATGATATAGGTATGTAGACCTTCAGTGTATGGGAAGGCGCGGAACGTCGCGCATGTCCCAGCAGCAAACCAACTTCCACGGCTGATGATACAACCGTGCTGCCTTCCTGAGTATTGCACCATTAGGTTTCCCTTGCCGACAAACGGGGTTCCCGTTGGAGGAGTTTCGGTTGGCTTCGGGAGTGTCCTTGTACTAGATGGCTTTCGAGGTGACGAATTCTTGGGCTTGTAGCGAATTCCATTTCGAGGGCAGTTGGATGGTCCACCGACTGTATACCATGTGAGTGGGAGAAATGACATGATCCCGCGTGTTTTGGTGTGCCACTAGGCAGACGAACCTGGAATTGCTGGGACAAATTTGCCCGACTCAAGTGGTCCTGCAACGTTGAAATGATACCATATCTCGTTGAGCGCACCGTTCCGACACCTAACTACCACATTGTGGCCATGTGCCTTTTTTAATGCATACTCAACAGCATCAAGGTCGTAAGTTTGTGTATCTGATGGCACGATCCCAGCGACGGAAAGAATCTAGGTGGATGTGCTTAACAGTGTCAGCCACGGTTCGCATCCTTAAACCCATCCGCCACGTCCCCCCTCAATATAGATGTATACATATATGCATACATATATGTATACATCTAAACATTTATTTGAGCTTACGCACCTCATAAGAAGGCAATCCGAGAAACAAATCAACTGTTTTCTGAAAGTAAGTCACGACCTCCTGCTGGGGAACGTAATTCGGGTAACATCGAGGTTCCAGAGTACTAATGCAAGTCCCGTGTTTATTCCACTCATGTTCCCATAGGTCCTCATCATCACCGCGAAAATCCTTCCAGTGCATCCTCATCAAGTCCAATAGCTCCAGCTGACCACTTTCCTTTATAATGGAGGATATATTCTGAAAGCGGCGATTGGAGTCGCAGTATTGATCGTAGCTCCCATCGCAATGGTCAGGCCTGGGAGAGGATGGCAAGAATCTTAGATCCGACATCCCTTCATATAAATGAGGAAGATACGGGATGCTCACCATAACCCATGGATTGTCCAGCCTTCCTCCGGCCCCGTGGGTGGATCGGCATCCCAGAACTGCGTCTGTAAAAGTTGCCCACCCGGATAATTGAAGCAACACCTATCCTGCGAATTGAACTCAACTTTGCAGCTCAGCTGCGGACTTGGACAAGAATAGAATTCAGCCACTTCTGACTCTTGCTGAACGGGCTGGTTATTCCAGAGTGGAATTTGGGATGTTCCTAGTGACGCAAAACGCAAGACTGATTTTGGAGAGGGAAGTTTGAGTTTCAGCGGTCTTGCCACCGCGATGAATGCTTCCCGCAACGTCTCTTTCGTCATCATGTTGATGACTGCGAATACCCTATGCGCGATAGGGAGGTGATGGGAATTATGCGGATATGATGAGCTTGTTCTGAGGTTGAGGTTGCCCAAGGTCAGCGCAGCCACTAAGCTCCCTAAGCCGCCTGTATCGGCAAACCCAGGGACTTCCATTGGCACGAGCTCAACAGCCAATCAACATCTGATCACATTCCAACACTTGCATGAAAGAAGAGCCTATCTTCACACACAAACTGACAGAGTAACGGATCTTGTTTATGGTTGCCAGGATGCACATCTTGCACTTAGGCCATGATACCATCTGCCCCTGACCCATTGCCGGGGATTTGTCTGTGTCGCCCGCTGTTAAACAGGAGTACGTAACTACCGAACAAGGTTTCCAATATATTGGCTAACTTGCCGCGCATTAGCGACACAAACGCATCCCTAGCCGAGGCGACCCACAGACATGCCGGAACATGACCGGTAAAGCTAGGAGCTTTGTATAACAACCATGGGCCTGATAGCGGACTTTTACCGAGTCTAATACTCATGTGCTTCCGATAACCGCCTAGCTTGCGATTTGGAATATTATAAATCTCGCCTCGCAACTGGATTTCAAATTACTCACTTGAATTTACTGGATATATCAAACAAAAGCAAACAGGCTTCTCGTAGGTGCTCTTGGAGAAATCTACAACGCTCACAAAGCGTTTACGAGAATTTACAATAAGAGCGTTTCAAGATGACTGCCCCTGCCCATACCCAAGAATTCGAGGATGCGATCAAGATTACGCCCTTATCCTCGCATACCTACTCGGCGGATTTGGTTACGCAGTGGTCTGTTGGGAGCGGTATGTCTCCCCAAGCACGAATCTCGAAATTGAGTTATATACAGATTATACCATAAGCCTACTTGGTGTCAAAAATAAAGATAAATTAGGACTACAGCTAACTGAGCTTTTTTGTAGCTCCTAATGGAGGGTATCTAACTGCGATTCTCTACCGGCTTGCAACAACCCACTTCCAAAACACACATCCAACCCGACACTCCTCCCAGCCGATGCCAATCAGTATGCAATTGACCTTCATCCGGCGGTCAGCTATAGGATCTGCTTTATTGGCAGTGCGCGATGTGAAACTGGGGTTAAGGACGTCAGCAATCCAAGTTACGTTGAGTCAGCTGAGCTCGTCAAACTCGCCTGAGAAATATATTGAGAAGGTGACTGGATACATCACAATCTCTGATCCAATATCAGAAGTAGGTGTATCCACCCCTTGTAGCTGGACGCTATATCCCCCGCCCCCAGACTCCAAGCCACCGCAACTTCGTGATGGACATCCTGTTCCAAACAGTCCTTGGAAGAAAACGATAATGAGAGACCCAGACTTTCGACGAGCAACGAACAACTCAGAATTCTGGGAACCGGTAGATCCCCGACTAGATGAACGACGAGGGATTGTAGATCAATGGGGTAGGCTGCGACCTCTTGGACCGAAAGGTGGATTAGGAAGGTGGACCAACGAAGCCGTTGCATACTTGGTCGATATTTTCCCTGTGGTTTTGGAAAATTTAGAATATGCTACTGCAAAGGAGATGGGAAGCCCGCCGCCGTACTGGTTTCCCACTATTGCATTGAATATAGATTTCAAGAAACCTCTTCCCAAGGGTGGAGTGGAGTGGCTTTACAGCCGAATCGCGACAAAATCCGTTCGCAATGGAAGGACAGACATTGAGGTGATAGTGCTGGATGAGGCGGGTGAGATAGTTGCTCTTGCGACACAGTTAGGGCTGGTGCTGGGATCAAGTCGCAACACCGGTGAGAAACAAGGCGCCGGACAGCGAAAGAATTCAAATCTTTGAGTAAGACTAGCGCTCCCCTCACGCTGGGATTTTGCATAGAGGTAGAAATATACAAGTAATGTGTTCGTTCCACCGCCATAGTCATCCACTGCCCCACAGATCCCCAACTGGTCACCTCCATTCCGTTATATCCAAAAGAAAAGTGAATGAGATGCAAAAATGTGGAGTGGTATCATTGAAACAAAGGAGATCTCCATCCATAAAACGCCTACCATGCAAAATTGAGCTAAAACTTTGCTACCCCTTACAATTCACCGGCTAGTTTGTTCCGTCAGCTCCATAGTTTCGAGCTCATGCTGCCTTTTTTCTTTCCATAGTCTCAGAACTTCAAATCCCACTTCAACAGCAATGAGCGCAATGATAATCCACTCAAGTCGTAAACCGTGAGTTTCACTTAGCCGTTCGCGGAGGACGCTTGCAATCTCTTGCGCGTAATCCATCTTTTCATTAAGTACTCTAATTCGGATCCCTACGTCCAGGGCTCTTCCAACCTGGTCATAGTATCCCTCCAGACCAAGTTCGTGGCGACTATCCCAGAAAATATCTGGCAGTGAGTCTGTGAGCTCAGAGTATAGGTTCAACTGGGCCCTCACGCTAAGGAGCTGTCCAGTTTTCTGCAGTACGAAACGCCGGGTAAATGGTAGGCGAGTACCTTTAGAAAGGAGGGTTGGGATGTTGCGGGTTGATTCAAAGTAGTTCGAAAGGAGCGTTTCTAGAACAGCCAACTTGGTGCTCCGTGCAAGCCCAGATGAAAAGGCAATTTTAGTTAAAACATTATCCACACCTTCCTTGCCTTCAGCCCGCAAATCACGGTTATCTGGGCTAATTTTTGTGCCGAGAGTTATCGTATCGCCCTTGATAGTACTGTATTCCCTATTGGGGTCTTCGATATAGTCCAGATCTTCTGTTTCCATAGAATTGACGTGCGGATTTTCTGCGGCCGAGAGAAGCACAGATGTAGCTAGATAGGAAGTAAAGCTATCAGGGAGTGCCCAAGCCACAACAGTGCCGGAAGGAAATATGAATATATCACCAGCCTCGTCCGGCGGGAGATTAGAGGCTGACGGACTGGATGTCCTCCGGAGAGAGTCTAGCGGTACTTGCACATGGACAACATGAGGATACAAATCTGTTTTGAAAGGGTCCGGTTCGTATCCTTTGGCTAGGAGGATTTGAACGACCTTGGCCAGATTAAATGTCTCCGCTACAGCGTAGGCTGTCACAGTCTGCAAGGGAAAATCAATAATTGGCGAACAATTTCACAAAATCAGAAATAGATACCTTGGATTTTGCTAGATCTTCATCAGCTGTCTGAGTTTTCTGGCGCATCCCATCCTTTGATCGCTGTGCTTCGACAGCAACACGCCGTAGCGATATTTTGGCACCTGGTGACCTGGAAGGCTTCCGTTTGGCTTTTCTTGTCACATTGGCGGCGGGTTCAGGCTCTGGTGGTGTCTCCGATTTAGCATGCTGGAGGTCAATTTTAGACGAGAAAAACTCTTTCCTCCATTGAGTGGATCTCGTAGGACATGAATGAAAAGTAGGTTCGAATCGTGAGAAGACCGGCGTTATTCGAGGCGTTCTGTAGACTGAACTTAAAAAGCAACGTGCAAACATGGCGATGGGTATGGTATATCGAACGGCAATGGCAGAAATATTGCCCAGCGCGCATTGATACGGAGTAATATGCCGATCGGCATGCAAATTTAATCTTCCGGAAGAAGCGGGTCCGCTGAGTCAGCAGATCTCCAGTGGACCGGACCCCAATCAACCTTGGAGCCTCCGTCCTTAGATGAGGCCGCTGGCACCGTGTCGTGTTATCTTGTTAGGATCGATTAAAGCTGCCGGTATGGAGGTGGACGACACAAAGGATTCTGAGAGTGATGGTGTAGGGCTGAAGCCGACAGGGCAGGCGGCGGGCCGCCCTCGGTCATTGAGCCCAGCCGCTGAGCCATCATCGAAGGACGATGAGGATAATTATAGCCAACAATCAGACGAAGAAGCTGGGGATGAGGATGAGGATGATGAGGATGAGGATGATGAGGAAGAGGAGCCGCGCCTCAAATATGCTTCATTGACCAAAAGCATTGGCTCCGTATATCGAAATGGAGATGCTACAAGCTCCTTCCTGACTGCGGGAGACAAAATGGTCCGTTGTTTTTTATCCATTCGAACTGCCCTCTTGAATAGTGGAATTTAGCTGACTGTTATAGATCGTTGGGACACATAATGGAAATATTGTATGTAGCATTCCGTAACCAATAGCTCTATTAGGTTTTTGCTGATCTTGTATAGCATGTTTTATCCGTCCCTTCTTTCCAGATTCTTCGTGTTTACCATGCGCACTCCGCAACCGTTTCCTCCATATCAATATCACCCTTTCCACCTTCACTCCCCATGCCCCAGCTGGATACATTTCGGCAATTTTCCAGTGATAGTAATAGCATCAAATCGCAATCTACTACCCAGAAAAATAAAAACTCGACGAAAGCCCAACCTGCAATCCCAGCGACCCCCTCGAACTCTATCTATATTGCGTCGTCCTCCATAGACGGAAATGTCTGTGTATCATCGTTAGTGGACCCAAGAGATGTCCTCCTACGTAACTTCGGACGACCAGTCCAAGCTGTAGCTCTCTCACCTGAATACAAAAATGACAAAAGCTACATTTCAGGAGGACTAGCTGGTACATTGGTCCTTACAACTGGGGGCAAGGTTGGGACGAAATCAAATTCTACAGTTATGGGAGTCTCTGCCCCCAATACTTCGGGTTGGTTGGGCTCTCTTGGTTTAGGCGGAAATTCCGGCAAAGACGTTGTTCTGCATAGCGGAGAGGGAACCATTAGTACCATAAAATGGTCACTATCAGGGAAGTATGTAATGTGGGTAAACGAAGAAGGAATCAAAATAATGCGGACAAATTTACACCTCGAGAATGCGGATTCTGAATTCGCCTGGAAACGCATGAGCCATATCGACCGACCTAATCGTCCCGGGTGGGAGGAAATGGCAAGCGTTTGGAAACCGCGAGCAGAGTGGGTGGACGAAAATTCCGTGGATGTCGACGACGATCCTGGAAAATTACAGTCACAAAAACAGTCCCCAGCTGCTAACGCGAGCAACTGCCGAAGTCGAAGCTCAGTCGAAAAACTCGTGGTGGGCTGGGGTGGCACTGTTTGGATTATCAATGTCTTTCCAGGTGGATCCAGTACGGGAAAGGATGTTGGAGAACGGAAAATTGGATCCGTAGGAGTTGCAACTATGTTAGTAGTAGCCAAGCCCTGGATTGCCCTAATGAAAAATACTAATTATCCCACAGATTACGCACTGACTGTATTATTTCCGGAGTTTCGCTATATACCCCAAATTTGCTTCTTGTACTTTCTTATCTGATACCTGAGGACGAAAACGACGAGTCCAACGCGAAGCAGGCAGGCCCTCGACGCGGAATTCGTCATCGACAAAATGGCCTTGAGCCTGAACTTAGATTGATTGACATCGAAACCAAAGAGGAACTTAGTGCGGATACCCTGAGTGTCAAAAAGTACCAAACGTTTTCCGCATCGGATTACCATTTAGGTGTTCTACCTCCAATTCGAGCACCTACAGCAGCAGTACAGCGAGGCGCACTCGAGGCTATAGGGACTGGACTCTGGGACGCAACCCTATATCCTACCCGCCTTTTTAGCTCCGCTGCTAGCGTACGGAGCAACGGCAGCAGCGGCGACAAAGGTTCAAGCATCCGTGGAGGGAGTTCAATAAACTCGACGGGTTTATCAGCCAGCGACAAACAGGCCAAGGAGCTAGCTATTACAGCTATCGGCGGAATCAAGATATTCATCCACAGCCCTTATGACTGTATAATTGCAATAAAAAGAGGCATTGTAGATCGTTTAGCTTGGCTAGATAGTCATGAAAAGTATGAAGAAGCATGGGAGTTAATTGTCCAGCACCCAGAAGCTGCTGCCGCTACCTTGGAGAGGGCGGAGAGCCTGCCTTCGACCCCGACTAAGCCACAGAGTACCCTCGCGGATTTTTTCTCTGATGACAATGCATCGGTCAAGACTGCTATCCAGGCCGCAAACTCCGCGCCAGAAATGGAAAAGCGCCGTATTGGAGAACGTTGGCTAGAGCAGCTTCTTAGTCAAGAAAACTGGGAGAGAGCTGGGCAAGTGTGCGGCAAAGTCCTCAGGACAACATCCAGATGGGAACACTGGATATGGATTTTTGCGCGCAACAATAAGTTCGATGAAATAACGCCCCACGTCCCAATTGAGATTAGCCCCCCGCTTCCCTCTTTGATATACGAAGTTATTCTTGGGCATTATGTTTCCCGAGATCGTATCAGATTTAAGGAACTACTCGAACTATGGCCTACCGATCTTTTCGATATTACAAGTGTAACCGCTGTCATAGAAGACCAGCTCCAATCGAAAGTTGTCACGCCCGGCTCGGATGACTGGAAGATTTTGATGGATAGTCTAGCGAAATTGTTCCTAGCAGGGAGGCATTACAGGGAAGCTCTCCATTGCTACATCAGTCTCCAGGATGATGAGGCCGCAATGCGATTAATTCGTGAATATCATTTGTTGGATGCTATAGCCGATGATATTCCCGGCTTCATTCTCATTCGCGTCTCGAAAGATCAATTGAAATCAGCGTCTATACCCGAGTTGGATGCTGCCACAGTAGATCCCATCAAAGTTTTGGTGAGGGAAGCGGCCAATGGTGTCGTTGGCCCTGAAGCTGTTGTTTCACAGTTACAGGCCACAAACCGCCGACTGTTTCTTTTCTTCTATCTACGGACTCTCTGGAGAGGTGATGCAACATCAACCGCTATAGAGAAGCCTTCCAGATTTCGACACCAGAAGATGGATGCTGCAGAGAAGCTTGTCGTTGATGAAAGACGCGCTCTGATTGATGGCCTCTCAGATATCGTCATCGAATTATTCGCAGAGTACGATCGTCAATTATTAATGGAGTTCCTCCAGTCAAGCACATCTTACTCATATAGCGCAGCCAGCTCAATATGTGAATCTCGCCGTTATATCCCTGAGCTTATTTATCTCCTATCCAAAACTGGCCAAACAAAACGAGCACTCAACCTCATCCTGTCAGATCTTAAAGATGTCTCATACGCCATCTCATTTGCCAAGTCACAAGATGACCCTGATCTTTGGGAAGATCTCTTGTCCTTCTCGATGGATAAACCCGAATATATCCGCGGCTTGCTTGCCGAGGCGGGAACTTCAATTGACCCGATAAACCTTGTCCGGCGTATACCAAGCGGCCTGGAAATAGAAGGGCTAAGAGAAGGCCTTACTAGAATGATTCGGGAACATGACATCCAAGCCTCCATCAGTCAAGGCGTCGCGAAAGTTTTGGAAGGAGAGGTCGCGACGCGAATGGACATCTTACGTCAGGGACAACGGCGAGGCATTAAATTCGATATCGTCACTCCCAGCTCGGGCCTAAGTCAGAAGCAGCAAGATACTCAGGAAACTGAGGAGTTGGGCAGAGGACGTTGCGCTGGATGCCGTAAGCTGTTCAGTGAGCAAGGTATGTCGATATCTACACCCAAGCATTATTCCTTCTGCTCAATGTACCCCCCCACTTGCATATATAAAACCCCTTTTCAAAATCCCTCCGTCTCCCACCCGGGAAAAAGAAAACAAGCAATCACTTTCCATGTCTTATCAGTCTCATAATTAATCACATCCATTTCCTCACTATCCCTCCAGAAACCGAAACCCTCATCGGCTTCGCCTGCGGCCACATCTTCCACGTCTCCCACCTACACCTCGACCACTACCACCACCAACAGCCTCCCACAACTACCTCCAATACAACAACAGATCATGAACAACGTCCCACCTCCCCAACCCCAACTCTCCGCCCACCACCACCACCACCACAAACCTCATCGCGACCACACACAGCCTCAACTTCATCCCCATCCCACCCAGACTATGCAACGACTCAATTCTCCCCTCTATTTTCCCGCACAGTCGGCCCCAAAGTGACCAATGCACGTCTCTTACGAGACAAAGTTGGCGACGGATGCGGCATTTGTACAGCGAAGAGTAATATCGATGAAGCGGCACAGGGAGGAATTGTGGTGTTGCGAGGGAAGTGAAAACTAGGAAACTACTAACTCTCTTGGCTTTTTCCCCTGTGGGGGCTTATTTTTTTGAGGGGGTCCGGGGAACTTAGGGCATACTAGTGCGGAAAGAGAGGATGAGAAAGGAGAGAATATTACCAGTAATAGTACTGGGAAGTAACTAACTAATAATCATAAAGTAATCACGGGGTTTAAAAGAGTTGAATTGAGGGGTCTCCTTTGGTTTTCTTTTTCGCCGGGGGCCCTGCTGCTAATAAATGTCTGGAGATGGGGGAGATGATATCATGTTCCATGGATGCCCCTCTTCCCTCGTCTACCACCTCTTCCACACCCTACCTATTCTTCTATTTTACAAGATGAATACCAAGGCTTCTTGACAGGAACCAGTTTCTCACATATAAAGGTATGTTTGCTATATTAATAAGGATTGGGGTAATAAGGACATGGAAATTATTCGACTTGTCCGGTTTCCTCCAGAACAGATGGCAGAGTTGCCCGAACGGAATGCCTTCTCTCCTCGTCAAGCTATAGTTCCAGTACGAATACCTCTTGGTTCCCCAGGCGACCACCGCTCAGCTTGCTATGTCATCTTCTTTACCACCCAGTCGAGTATACCGCCGACCCGCTATCTACTTCATTTTTCTAGGAATAACGTGTTATCGATCTGAGGATAGGTTAGGGAATTTTACAAGACGGGCACATCTCTAGTCACTTTTAGGTCGTGAGAACATCAAACAATACACTACGTAGGTGTATCTTAAGAGTTCAATGACCAGATCTTTTTGTGATGAATATGAACGAAGAATGCTGCGTCTGATTTTTAGTTGAATCTACCTCGAGTATGACCCCATTAAACCCTCCTAGGTATGCAATACCTCTCCCAAATAACATACATTCCAATCACCTCCGGCAGCATTAAAAAAAGCATTTCCACGAACAGAAATCTGGAAAAAAAATAAAAGATAAAAAATAAAAAATCATTTCAAGTCGTATTACATACATACGATGATGACTATGTGGCTAATCATGCAAACAGCTAACCCGCGATTTCCTCAACTTACGAAGGAGCCATGTGAACGTTGTACTGCCACATCGTCGGGTGTTTACAACGCCACAAGAGCAGCAAATCCCGCAGCACCAACGAGGATTGCACCCTCGAGGCCACCGTTGCGAACCGCAAAGTTGGTTTCGATAGGCGGGGCGATACCGGTCTCAGAGGCAACAGGGGTCGATGCAGAAGGAGTAACTGAAACAGCGGGGTTGCTGCTGACCGCCGTAGAGGATATCGCAATTGGATCAACAGAAGACCCTAGAGCCTCAGAGGCAGAAGAAACTGCCACGCTGCTGGAGACCGGAGCAAGGACTGGAGACGTCGTGGACTGAATTTCAGAAACTTGGGATGGATCAGATGTGACCGGGTCGAAAGCATCACAGCTCTCAGCGGTGGCGGTGGCAGTGACAGTGATTGTTTCTATACGTGTTAGTGGTCGTAACTTGGAAGTTTCCACCACCCGTGGATAGTATGATAAAGGAAAGGGAAGGAGTCCGAGGACAAATCTACCATCATCAGGAGGTCAGAGGGTTGCACTTACCCTGACGAGCAACAATCTTGCCAAAGAAGCCCTGGCTTCCCAATCCACGAGGAGAGTCGACGACTATTGCGTGGTGTTAGTTAGAGGGCGTCAACGCTACAAAGATACTGGGTTCCTCTTTGCTACAACTCACCAGCTTTCTCGGCGGCAGCACGAGGGAGGTCTACAAGACAATAAAGGTCAGCACAATCATCGTCCAACGTTGGGCTCTCTCTACGATGAGATGGGGCCAGGGCGGTGACGAAAACACCGGAACCATGTAGGAAACCAGAAACAGAGCGTTGCGAAGACTTACTTGCAGCAGTTGCCATGATGGCAAAGACCATAGAGGCCAGAAAAACGATGAACTTGACAGACATTGTGATGGAACTGAACTTTGAGCGAAAGTTGAGCAGCAGCTGAAAACGAAGGTTTTGAGATGGTCAGGGGCAGAGATTGAATTGATAATTTTTCAGATAGTGTATCTGGAACGAGTGAGATGTTACTGGGACGGTGAAATTGATGAAAAAGGGCTGGAAATGATGGGGATGATGGACGAAACGGCAATGCGTGGGATGGGGAGAGAAGAAGAAGAAGAGAAGAGGGGGGAGTCGGAGAATTTAAATGAACAGTGTGGACAAGCGAGAAGCGAGAAGCGAGAAGCAAGAACAGGAACAGGAACAGGAACAGGAACAGAACAGAGAGCAGGTGCCTGGCAACCGCCTCCTTCGGGAAAGAGTCAGGCGCGGTGTGTTCCAATGTTCCAAGGTTGTCTTGCTGCTTCCCAAACAGGAAGAAGCCCTGGTGAATGCATTCGTCACTCACCAAAACACCAACCCGGGAAAATCACGCCATTCGAAGATGTACGCTACCCAGCAGCTGCCCGGCAACAGAGTACCTCGTCCATATAAAGGCTCATCTGATAGCTGTTAGTTACCATAGTTGTTTTGCAGCATTCACCGAACCTCCGCCGGAAACAATCACAGCGGAACCCAATTTCCCTCCCTCTTGGCGACGACGGAACTCCTAATGGGATGATCAGGCTCGGCACAAAAGATGTTGGGGGGCAGGCTCCTCTTGCCTAACTAGAGGGCTGCAGTGTCAATACCTAGGTAGCTACGCCTTTTTCTCCTACTTCGACATATCCTACCATACATTCTGGATTTTGGAAAGCGAAAAATGCCTTCCTGCCCATGTACGTACGTGTACGTTTTATCCCTTAGGGGTAATAACTTTTATTTTATTTTTATTGAATAGTTATTCCTTGATTTCAAATTCAATATGAATCTGGCCCCTAATCTTTTAGAAGACAAGCCTGATGCAAATAGATATCTATTACATTCAATATAAAGCTACAAGACATTTTTCTCCTAAAATCCCACTACCAGAAACTTCCTGTGATAAAAACTCAACAATTCACATAATCATCACATTTTTCTACGTGAAATAAGCAGCTTAGATATAGCTACGTAACTCTATAAAAGAATAACGTTGAGACGAAAGCTAAGTGCAAAGAAGAACTGAATCTCAAGAAAGAATAATATTGATGACCAAGTATGAGAGTGCAACGTCTAGATATTAAGAAAGCCACACTTGTTGGGCATTATCATAGGGGTTGACGGCTGTATCTGTATAGGGGCTTCGCCGTGGGGCAAATCTCCTTAAATCAATTGGCATTGCTATCCTCTGCAAGTAAGGAAAACTGCTTCCAACGCTGGAAATCTATGTTATATATGCATAGCACATCCGACATAAAGTAATCTCTGTCAAATGCCCTAGGGGACCCTATCCATCGTAATTTAGGTGATAGGAGCGTCAACCCTGAAGTAGAGGAGGGCCATACCAACCGATGTACCCTAAGGAAATACGAAAATTTGGTAGGCCCCTGAACCATTACTATTTTCCATCATCGGAATTTCTTACTGCCGAAGGCTTATTTGATTCCCCCTTTTTTCCCAGTCTTGACACTCATCGTCCTAGCAGACCAAGCATTATCAAAGTTTTCTCACATGTCAAATCCCTCCCAAGAGCCCAAGGGCATTCTCCCGCCGCCACAAACGTCATCGTGATGTCATGCAGTGCACAAATAACGGCCAACGAGCCAAAAAGGGCCCACCCCACATTTGCGCCAGGGAAGGCGCAGCCTACATTTGAACCCACACCCACCTGCTCCTCCAACGGTTACAGATATAATTCGCAGCTAAAACCAGAGACTCACCACTCCAGGCTAGCTTGGGGTAAAAAGAAATCTGAGTTCGTTCCACAATAAGGTTCGCAGTTGTCCATGTTTTGACTTTTCGAAGGGATAAGTTAGTTAACCATTCCGTTCGACGTACATAACCCAGGTCCTTTTCTATCTGCTTGCTGTGCCCCAATTTGCGAGATATGCAGAATATCATTCTACCGTTTGCTCAAATCTAAGACATGCATCTCCCATCACCCACGGCTTGCGGTATGCTATACACACAGTCCCGTAGCCATTTACGGGATGGTAATATGAGGGAGGGTTGGGGGGGAAGAAGGGAATAGCATCGAAGGGTAACTATTTATAGGCGGCCTCAAGGGGAACACAGCCTATCATCATTACGCAACGGCAATCATAACGGCTAAAAATCCTCCCCCTTCCCCCTCCTTCGCCGGGTGTGGGGCCTGTGTGGGTGTAGTTTCGCACCAGCAGACAAAACGATAATTTGAACTAATCCAGAGTTTCAGCATCCCAATGTCACGGCCGAGATTCCACTACCCCAGGTCCCCGGAACCCATGTTCACGATGATTATTAGGTTTTCCATTGAGCGGAAGCCAGCTCAAGCCCAGCCGTCAGAACCACGTAACGTGACTCACCACCCAACGAACTCATCCACCCAACGAACTGCTATTTTTTCCATGAATCTCTGCAACTCTTCAACTTCAACCACCCATCATGCCACCCAATGAAGCGATTATGGAGCAAGCAATCGCTCAATTGAATCAATAATTGATTTCTAAATATGCTGTGATTGCAAAGGAATTCAGAATCAATCATGTTATCTTGATGCAGCAGTTCAAAGATCAACAGGTCTTCAGAACAGAGGCAACATCAACTTACTATCAGAATCTTACAAATACTGAAGAATAATGTCTTCTATTTCATATTAATCAGTTATTCAATTGTGACTTCTCTGTGACATCTCAAATACTGTACAATTTTGTATTTGAGATCACTAAGACACAAGTAGAAATCAACTGAGTGTCTTACTTTTGTGAGTGATATAAAACAAAGATCAAGAGCATCTATCTTTATGCTCTGAATCAAAAGAGAAAATAGATGAATAATAGCTACTATTTTAAACAATTCTTTATTCTTGTAATTGCAGTTTTTTTGCTTCTTTTTATGTATAATTTCATGAGCTTTTTACTAACTTTTATTGAATAGTTGCAGGAGAAGATTAAGCAGTATAATATTCTATCTCAGAATATCTACAATTTTGATAAAAAAGGCTTTCTTCTTAGCCTTCTTTATACTCTCAAGTGAATTGTTTCTATAGAAGCTCTCAAATGAAAGTATATAATTAAAGCAGTGTAGAATAACAGTAGAGAATTCATTTCTTTACTTACTAATATTTATACAGATGAAACTATAATTTCACCTGCACTCATTTATTATAAGAAATCAAGAGATATGTAAGATACATGACTTGAAGATTTTGATTCTAAAAAGAATCAGATATACTTTACTACTTTAGAAAATGAATAAAGTAATAATGAATATGAATTAATCTGGCTGAAACAGGTATTTAATTCTTATACAAAGTAAAAAGCAAGAAATTATTATTATCTGCTTATATTAGATGATCATTCATCTCATATAAATATAACATTCATTGATTACACAGATTGAAATTGAATTTTACTTACTATTCTTTTTTCTCACTCTACACACTGTTTATAGTCACTAAATGTTGAAATATTTAACTCACTTATAAAGACATATTCAGATTAACTAGATTTCTATACATATTCTGACTATAGCTTTATTCAGATTACAAAGTGAGATTTTTGATAATTATTTCATGCTGTATGAGAAATCTCTACAACTGTAGAAAATATCAAATCTGTCTTTATAATCACTGATATACATTCTATAGATTCTATCTGCATTCTTGAAAAGATTTAATTATATTTATTTACACTCTCAGAACTGCTTCAGTAGTGTATATCTATATCTATACAAGCTTTGTAAGATCTGATAAAGCAGACAAATCAATATCACTGCTGACTTTCAGTTAATATTAAAAAAATTCTCTGTGCTGAGAAGAATATTGCTCTGAACAGAGAGATTCTCTTAATAGAGAATAGAAATCTTCAGACTGCTCTAAATAATGAAAGAAAACAACACAAATAAGATAAATGTATGAGATTACTTAATTCATCAAATTTCTTACTTACTCAATTCTTTTCTCTTATCAAGATACAGACTGTGAGAGAGTAAGCAGATACTAACAAAGCTGTAAAAATCAATGATCAGATATATAAGAAGAATATGAAGCTTTAACAAGTGATTCTTTATAAGTAAAAGCAGATAGAGCTCATGAAGTGAAAGAAATAATATAAGAAGTAATGATTAGAAGCTGCTTAATATTATAAGAAAATCAAAGCTGCAGCTGCAGCTAAACATCTTATAGAGAAACAATAGTAAGATGAATAGAAGCTTTAACTGTAAAAAGAGAAGAAAGAATGTGCTGCTAAATGTTATAAAGCATAGTTAGTAAAGCAGATATTCACAGAGATTTCAAAGAGATCTATAAGAAGATCAACAGTGAGCTTAAAACACTGTAGAAGCTCTATACAATCTTCTAAAAGCAGTAATAAGTATTATATACAGATCTCTCTGATGAAATCAAATAATATTTCTTCTCTGACATCTTCTACACTGCAATCTGATTCAATCATTTTAAAATCATGAGTTTCATATTCTGAACAGATTATTAGGCCAAGCAATCATTCTCTGAATTAATTATATATATTTATATGATGTATTCTGCATATAGTTTTAATCTTTAATAAATAATATTAATATCTTATTGCATTGTTGTGCTATGATTGAAAATTAACAGCTCTATAGAGTGCTTTTTGGAGTTCGTTGGGTGGATGAGTTTGTTGGGTGGTGAGTCATGTTACGTCATAAGGTTCTCGCCTACAGTCCCCGTTCCACTCGTAGCCATTGAAGTGTTAATGAATAATGGGCCGCACAGCTCGGAGCTACCATGCAAACGGCTCTTCTTTCAATTTCAACTCGCGTGCTGAATGCCCAGTTATATACTGACGAGGTGTAGTGATGACATCCGTAGCAGTGACAGACACGAACGAAAATTCTAATTGTTCCAAGTAGCCTTTGTAGATATCAACTCATTTTTGTGCATGTTATATGCAGCAATCAAAAAGAAGCGTTTACGATGAAATGCCCTTCCACCCCGGATAGGTCGAATGAGCCTCACCGGTTAAAGCAGCTTTAGATATGAAGGAAATCAACCTTGGAAACTTAGATAGGTAACCTAAAGTTAATCTAAGCTTTACCCGAGGGAAACCATATACCCGGGTTTGAACTCCCCGGTGCACAAGCCCGGGATCAAGTAGAAAAGATGTTTGATAGAGAGTTGAGACATGATAAACATAATAAGACGTGTAACTCGTTTTAATTGCGCCATTGTGTAGTTGCGTCAGGCAGCAGAAGGACAGGGAGGGTTGGTTGGGTTGAACAGCGCAGTCCGAATCGATGAAAAATTAACTTAAGCCAATAATAATAAGCCGTCATAACCTCACCCGGGGGCAAAAAAAGAAATATCAACAATTATACACAGCTCTCACCTTACCTACCTACATGCCGATGTCGTCATTGTCCAACCCAACACCGCACCCTCCACAGTCAAGAAAGGCAAAAGGTCAGCCACGCGTTCATCAATATCGCGAGGTTGAATATCCCGAATAATCTCCACAGTAACTACGTCTGTGATCCCTGCACAATCCCTACATACACCCGAAACTATCACACTGCCGGTCGGTCCAGTACCTGGAACACGGCTGGTACAGCTTTTGACATGTACAGTACCTACGTATGCACATAGATAATTAGGTATTATTGAAAGTATTAACTAAGATTCGTAGTTATCTCTCCGCTCCTAACTTAGCCTAGCTTGGCCTACTGGGCCCATGCATGCCATCATACTTCACACTGCAAGTCTAGAGCTACCTACAC